ATTCCTCATCACACTTTCCCTTTGCCCACTGAACGCAACATCCATGCGGTTATCAGAGGTATCCCAGCATCAACCACCGAACAGGAAGTCAAAGGTGAGCTAGAGCAGAAGGGTTACGCTCCCTTTCACATCATTCGCCTAAAGCGCAACGGCGGCGTGCCCATGCCCTTGATGGTGGTGATCCTGCCTAAAACGGAGAAGTCACAGCAAGTGTTCAACGAGAACGAATTGCTGGGGCTCTCTATCAGAGTCGAAGTCCAGAAAATCTCCCGACTCATTGGGCAGTGTCACCGCTGCCAGAAGTACGGACACGCACAGTCGTATTGCACTGCGCCGCCAAAGTGTATAAGATGTGCCCAAGACCACATGACACATATGTGCCCTCAAACAGGACAAGAAGTTCGCAGATGTGCGAACTGTGGGGGGGACCTTCCGGCAAATAGTCCGCCCTGTAGATTTACTCCTAGGAGAAATCTACAAGTCATCGCACAAAGGCGAGCAAAGCCCTACGCGGACGCAGCAAGAGATGACACCTCACTGCCCCTGCTGTTTCGAGCGTATCTACGACTACTCAAAATGTGGATCTAGCTACAGCGCTCAGGTACCTACAGCAGATTATTAGTCACCTGATAAGCGCCACTAAGGCATTGCAGGCGATCTTTCGGCTAAATGGCTAGGTACAATAGCAGACAGCCTGAATTCATCAAAATTCTTTTCTGGAATTGTTTGGGTCTTAGGGACGACCCCAAAAAACGGGAATTTCATCAAGCTCTTTTGGATCTGAACGTCGATGTAGCTCTGCTGCAGGAAACATTGTTTAATCCGGGAGATCGTCTAGCTTTCCCGAATTATGATGTTATCCGCGCTGATAGATTAAATGGACGGGGTGGCGGTTTGGCAGTGCTAGTAAAACGTGGTATTGACTATTACAGAAGCACAAACGCTGAGACGCAGAGCATCGAGGCAACTTCGGTGGTAGTGAATATGACGGGAGGTATCTCGTTGAAAATCACATCGGTTTATGTCAGATGTGGTGCCAGGCTGCAAGAGACGGATCTGGAAGTCCTGTTTGACTGCTCGGGTCCGCTTATTGTAGCAGGGGACTTTAACTGTACACATCGAGCATGGCACTCTAGGTTAAATTCCACCAGTGGGATTCGACTTTACAACCATGTGATACGAAACGGCTACCTCATACACAGCACTGATGAGCCGACTCACCACCCATTTAATCACCTTCAGGCACCAGATGTCATTGACTTCGCGATATCTAGAAACTGTAGATTCAGTGTCACTTCTCGAATGATGTATGACATTTCGAGCGATCATCTTCCTATCGTACTGGAAGTGGGTAACGACAAACCTTGGAAGGGGAAACTCTTCCAAGGAAAAGCGTTGATTGGGAGCTATACAAGTCACTCCTTAGAGAGTTCCCCAATATCCCGATCATAGATGATGAGAACGATATAGATGCTGCTCAAGCGGAGTGGACAAGTTCCGTTCAGCAAGCTCTGCAGCGTGCAGCTGTACTACCAGTACGACGTACACGGCAGACCGTTTCTCCCTGCAGACATTCGTCAGAAAATTTCTGACAAATGAGCTGCAATTAAGCAAGCGAAGAGGTCTTGTCACCCAGATGACATTCACAGAGCAACTAATCTTGTTCATGAAGTGAGAAATGCTCTTAATGAATTCCGTAATGAGCAATGGAGCGACTTTCTGTTGGGGATGCTTGACTCAAGTATTCCTCTCTGGAAAGTTGCAAAGTCGCTCAGAAACGGAAAGCGAGAACAACTCCCGCACATCCACGATCCTAGGGTCATAGTCTGTAGGACAGAGGAAAAGGTCGAGGTTTTCGCTGATGCAATGGAAAGTCAGTTCTCTCCCAACTATGAGCTTGATAATGACCTCGACAGGGAGCAACATATTGTAAGATCCGTCAGGAGATATTTTAGGGCCAACGGCGTCAGTGGCAGTAGTGCCTCCCTTAGTGATTTTTCCTCAGAGGAATCTTCAGATGATTCCTCGATTGAAGAGCTGCACGGCACATCAGCGAGATCTCCTGAGATTCCGCATTGCACACCAGCAGAGCTCCAAGGTCATATTAAAGACCTCAAGGTGCGTAAAGCACCTGGAGAGGATCGAATCACTAATAAGGTGCTGAAGCTACTTTAGCGGAAGTCCTTAACTTATCTCGTGGCAATAATCAATGCCATGCTAAGGACCCAGCACTTGCCAACGGCGTGGAAGACCGCTGATGTCATAATGATTCCAAAGAAGGTGGGTTCGATATTCCCTCAGGATTACCGCCCCATTAGTCTACTGTCAGCTCCTTCTAAGCTCGCTGAAAAGGTGATTCTACGTCACCTTGAAAATTTCTCGGCAGACCACAATGTGATATTCCTGACGTGCAATTTGGCTTTCGGTCTGAGCATAGTACGGAGCTACAGGCCATAAGGCTTGTTGAACGAGTAACCAGCGGGTTCACCCGTAATGAAAGTACTGGCATCTTGCTACTGGATGTCTCAAAGGCATTTGACAAGGTGTGGCACAAGGGCCTTCTCTACAAATTGATCCATAAGGGCTTCCCCTTCTGGCTCCTTATACTTTTGAAATCCTTTCTCGAGGGTAGGAAATTTCGGATCAAAATTAATTACATTCTGTCGACAACACGGCTCATCAAAGCCGGTGTCCCTCAGGGTTCGGTTCTTGGACCAGTCCTTTATTCACTTTTTATTCATGACGTCGCTTGCCCCAGCAGCTGTGAAACCGATCTCTATGCTGATGACACTGCCCTGGTGGCCCAGTCGTGCTCTGGGGATCTAGTTCACGACAGGCTGCAAAGTGCAGTGGACGAGGTATTGGAATGGGCGAATCGGTGGCTGATCAAAATTAATCATTCGAAAACGCAGGCAATCTATTGTACTAAAAAACGTAGCGGCGCCCCGTCTGAGGTTTCAGTGAATGGCGCTCAGGTACCATGGGAAAGCTCTGCTAAGTATCTCGGTATCACTCTTGACAAGGGATAACCTGGCAGAAGCACACTGAAGCGTTAAAAACTAAATTCCAGATCTCGTTTCGGCAACTCTACCCTATGCCATGTAGGAACATCAAAATTAAGTATGATCAACAAAGTTCGACTATACAAGATGGTTATTAGACCAGCGATCACTTACGCAAGTGCGGCTTGGTGTTTTCTCGCCAAAACGCATTTGCGTAGCCTGCAGGTTTTGCAGAACAGAACCTTGCGTACAATCACTAACGCCCCATGGTATGTTTCCAACGAGACCCTTCACAGAGACCTTGACATCCCTTACCTAAGGGAATACATCAAACAACAAGCGCACCTACGATACAGTCAAGCAGAATCGCATAACATCCCTTTGTTGCGCGAGTCAGTAGACTACACAGCCGAGCAAGTTCGCAAGCACACAAGGCCGCGACTCGCACTGTGAACAAAATTAAATCGTGCGACTTTAGGTCCAACCAAAATTATAATTTTTCTTCAACAACCAATCCCAAAATTAATTTTAGGATCAATTTAAAATTGCCGAATACTAACTAGCAATGCCAAGGCACCCCTCAAATTGATGCACTTCTTTTTTCTTTGCTCTCCCTCCTTCCTTCCTTCCTTTCTTCTTCCCTTCTTTCTCCCTGACTTTGTTTGGTATCTGGGCAACCAGACCTGACAGACCTACTGACTTACAAGACTTCAACCAAGAGCAAAGGTCCTACGGACCGCTCTGACAGACAATTACGAATAGTAGTAATTACAATGTTTTGCCCACCACGTACCAGTTTTCCTTTGGGCGAGATAGGGAATCATACCTACATGTTAGAAGAAGAAAATCAGGCAAGAACTATAGATATTAAATTTTTCTTGCATACTACGCTACGTGTTAGGGTTTTGTGTGCCCGCTGGGGAGGCGAACTAAAATGCGCTGGACAGCGTTAAAAGGGAGGAAGGGGGGCGTCAGTCAACCGAGGAAAAGTGAGCGGCCCCATGTCTGTCACCCCCCTCCCCCCTCCCCCCTCAAAAAAATAGTTTTTACGCAACACAACATTTATGACAGGAAATTAAGTTCCGAGATGGAGTTTCGAACCCGCGAACCCCAGGCTGCTAGCTCGACCCGCCAGCAACCGAGCTACCGAGGCCCCAACTCAGCACATAATGTTTACTTGTTCAACTACAAGCGATCTCACCACTCCCCGCTCGACATGTAAAACTGCTCTTAACCCAGATACCCGTGAAACTCTTAATGTTTGTTTTTTGTTATATACTTTTGTAAACCAGTTAATTGGGTTAATATAAACATATTTTCCTAGTAAAATTTTTTAGTTCCGCTTTTAGGTTTTTCTGTAAAAGCCGTCGGTTTAAACTTACGGTAGCAATATAAGGTACTAAAACTCAATATTCTTATGAACTTACAAAACTTTATTTAGAAACGAAAAAAATTTTTTAAACCAATAATAATAGATTAGTTTTTAGTATGGTAACTTAAAAAACACATTTTTGGATGAAGTGCAACATCACACTTCTGGCATCTGAATGTTGCTTGTTTGTGGCAAAATGCGCAGCGGGTATGCTTTTCCTGATAATTCACAAGATGATCCATCCGATCATATCATATCTGGACTGGTTTAGATGGCCTCCGTTTTGTTTCTTTCTTATAAGTTTCTAATAATCCCGCAGCAATACACCTCCTAAACTGCAAATGGTCCATTTTTCCGCTAGAATGTTTATGAAGTTGCCATGCGTTTTGTTCTGCCATATCCAGAGCATGTGAAAACAAGCAAAAATACCACTTCTTTCCCCTGATTCCTACGCGGTAAAGGCTTATATTTTGGTCAGCCCTATCAACACCGCCCATGTTTTCGTTGTATTGTTTGATCAACATGTATCATTTTCTTTTCTTTCTGAGAGAAGCGTTTGATTTGCTGTGTCGGAAAAGGAGATTTGAGGCGATTGTAACAACACTATTGTCATTCCATTTACATACAATATTATTTTGGTTCTCCTCCAAAAGATAATCAAAACTACCACGGGATGTTTTCTTGAACATACTGGATTTTTCAAGAGGGCAATCTGATAGTCTGTTTTCTCGCAGAGTTCCTGTGCATTTGAGCCCCCTGGAGGTCAGCTCAGCCAAAAGAGGTAATGACGTAAAAAAATTGTCACAAAAGATATGGAAAGGAGCTTTTTCACATTGAGACTGAATAGCATCAGCAAACTGAAGTACAACACTAGCCCCTAAGCCAAGAGGACGATATTTTTCAGAAATAATAGTTGTGGACCCTTGATACGGCTGAAACCATTCAATGTACCCCTTTTTAGTTGTTCCCACCCATACCTTATAACCCCAACGAATGGGCTTTCCTCGGATGAACTGTTTTGATCCATGACCGCCGTAATAGGGTACCATCAACTCGTCCACGCTATGGCAATCTTCAAGGGGTGGAAATGACTGACATTTCTCATTCAGAGTAGAAAACAAGGGCCTCAGTTTTGAAAACTTATCGGTATTTTCAAGATTGTTGTTATCATTCAGGTGCAAATTCTGCATTATAAAGCTAAAGGGATCTCGAGAAAGCGCCGAATAGACTAACTTATTTCCTGCGTCACTGTTATTTTCCCAATACATTGACCGTCGAGGAAATGAGTTGTATCCAAAGAGTAGTAATACACCAATGAAACATTTTATTTCACTGGAATGTATATCACCTCGGCGATTATGCTGAATAGCATATATATTGGAATATTTCACAACCAAGCCAATAATTTCGTCATCTATAAACTGAAAAAATAGTTCTAAAGGAGATAAAAAATTTTTTGGACCACTTGCGTTTACCGATTCTGGAAAATCTTGGTTGATGTCACCTTTTTCCAAGAGTAATTTGGTTTTGATAATCTTGGTCGTTTTTTCGTAAGAAAGGTAGACAAAGGTAGGTCATCGTCGGCAATAGTATCAGGAATCAACTCATCTCATCAAGGCTTTCAATTTCTGCCATGAGTTCATGAAGTTTCAAGGGCCGCTTCCAATAGTTCCAATAACTGCAAATATAAGAAAAAAATCGAATAATACCGGATTTTCCTACTGCCCGTTAAAACGGATTTTTGCCGGTGAGATGCAAATTTTCAACTTATTTGTTTACAATTATAAAGATTGATGTTTTCTAAAATTACTTATTCACAAGATGGAAAAATAATATGAATAGTTTATCAGTATACTCACCTATAATTATCCATTGTTCACAACAAACTAAGCACCTGTCATTCCAAACACTTTCTCGCATACAGAACTCTCCCTTTAAGAGGTTAGAACAATAAATTTCGCTTAAACACGTGTTTCTAACAGCGAATAACCCAACGCCATCTAACGCGGAGTGACAGAGTTTCAAATTTGAAGCGTAATATTAGGTGATTGTTATAACGGATGGTAGGGGTATCTGGGTTAATATACTTTTTTCTTATGAGAACATCCCTACATAGAAAGTATGATCCTCCGCACTTCATTTATGACACACCCGCTCTTCAATATCCACTGAGCATCAGGTATAACGCGCGATTGTGTCTCTTCTGAACTTTGCTATATGGGCGCCCATGGAAACCTTTTAGGAAAGCTTACAAGAAGTTTGATAAGCAAGCTAATAGTGTACGTGTAATCATCAGACAAGAAATCCGCTGCGACTGATTAATCTGACAAGATTTTACTGGTGATGGGAATCCGAAATTGATATTCATACCTTATCGTCTTGCAAGGAAAATGCAAGCTACACTTTACGAGGACCTCATGAACTCTTAATTCTTGACGACACAGCGCGTGGGATCGAAATATTCAAATTTTATACGGCAAGCATATTTCGGATGCGCTACCTTTTCCGCCGCGTCTCTTCAAAAAGCGGCTTCGGCTTTCATAGCGACACATTGTTGCAGTTGATCCCCAGAGATCAACCGACTCCATGCATGCAAGAATGCCGGATGATTCCGGATACATGCGATATCGGATATTCCGCGTACGCTTGCCGTAGCTGATAAACTTCGGGCAAAGTATGTGTGCGCTTTCCAAAATAGAATCATGCATCGAGGATCAGCGCGTTTGTCCTTGTAGGTGCAGAGGGGAAAAGCTGTTAGCCAGGTTGTTTCCAAATAAGGGAAAGAGGGCTAATCAAATTTTTTAAAAATATATTAGGCTGATAATATCTAGTCCTCATTACCCTAAGTCGAATGGTCTTGCAGAAAGGGCAGTAGGTATATGCAAGAACATTTTAAGAAAGAGTCAAGAATCAGAAACAGACATTTCTATAGCGCTGTTAGAATATAGAAATACCCTGTTAGCAGGGTCCAATATGTCTCCAGCGAAATGATTTATAACAGACAACTGCGTAGTGTCTTGCCTGTATCAAATACGCACTTAGAAGCAACTCTAAAGAGTGGTAGTCAGAGGCTTTCTGAAAAAAGATTTAAAAACAAAATTCATTATGACAAAACTGCAATCTAGACGTATGGAGTATTATATTTTATATGTTTGTTATCAGCATATTAATAAACACTCCGTGTTTTAATTATTATTTGAGTTTATTCTTAATACGTACCTGCGCCAGTGACATCTAGGTTTTAAGAGAGCAAGAGATCTCATGCAGCGCTTCAACAAACTATCTGAAGCAGCTCCACACACTAAGTTAAGGCTGTATGAGACATCTGCCCCTTTTTACAATATTGTTTTTTTTTACATTTTAATGCATGAAACTTAAAATACTACTTCACATTGGATATACAGGGTGACTTCGAAGTTGAGTCATTTATTTTAACAGTGAGTAGATCTGATCAAAAGAAATGTTTTTTTCCTTTACCATTTTTCTGGTAAAATTAAAAGTAACAAAGTTATAGCCCTTTGGAAGTTTGAGTACCGGCCTGCCTATTATATGCTCGTGTTTGGCGACAACGGATATAATCCGCCTGACCGGTTCATCGCATCGGAAACAAAAAAGCGAAAGAATTTGAAACGTTTATCACGATGTTTTTCGTCAGTCGATAAATCCTGAGTGAATAGTAGTCAGTAGTGTGTTGCGTGGCTCAAACGAAATCAAAAATGGCACATGTTTACGAAAATGCTGAACTTGTGGACATGATTCTTATTTACGGGGGGGCAGTCTTTACAAAATGCTCCCGGATGCATCACGGATTTATGCGAATCGGTTTCCCAATCGAGTGCAACCAACCCCTCGTGCCTTTGTTAATGTAGTGCAAAGGGCTCGTGAATCAGGTGACTTAAGACCTCACAGGTGAGGGCATGCTGCTCCAAGACCGCACGATCAAATACAGGTCCGCACTGAAATACTTGTCGGGAGGATACTTTATTAAACAAGGTAACATTTTTTTTTTATTTTTTTTTTATTTTTACACACATATTTTGGTTTATCTTCCTTCTACAATCATTATCTGAAAATTAATGACTCAACTTCAAAGTCACCCTGTATAAACTACTATCTATATCTGGCCGGATTTCTCACAACTCTGCCAGATCTTGTTCTCTTAGTCTCTGTTTCTGTTAAGCTTCGTGAGCAAAATGCTACTGGCTGTCCCTGTTATAAAAGGCAACGATCAATATCAAACTAACTAGCATCACTTTGTATTTCAATTGGTAGACTTGAATCAAATATCTTCAAATTTGGAAGTCTCGTTATTAGATTCTTTATGTTAGTCAAGGCTGTGCTGTGCTCCAAATTTCTTAGCTCTCTGTATCACTCTATTTAATATCAGGTTATGTGTTTCCTCATCTGATGCAGAAATTATTAGCATACACTGTCTCATACAGCCTTTACTTAGTGTGTGAGCTGCTTTAGATAGTTTGTTGAAGCGCCGCATGAGGTCTTTCGCTCTCTTAAAATCTAAACGTCACTGGTGCATGTACGTATTAAGATTAAACTCAAATAACAATTAAAACAAGGAGTGTTTATTAATATGCTGATAACAAGCACATGATTACCCTAAATAAATGTGATAGCCCTCTAGGTCTTAAATGGTGCGTGACAACCTTGGAAGACTTTTAAGAAGGATGTCTTCATTTTTAAGATATTCTCCTAACGAGTGTTCTCCAGTACAATCTCAAGATGAATTTGATAATATTTGGTCTGAACCTTGCTCCCCAAGAAGAACAGAGTCACGAAGTAATGATTTCGAATCCAATGATTATAATGAGCCAACAACTGTTTCAACCTCGATTGTATCTAGTAACCAGAAGTGTGACAATAAATCCTATGTAAACAATAATACTTTGAGAACAAGATCTGGCAGAGTTGTGAGAACACCGGCCAGATATAGATAGTAGTTTAAGTATCCAATGTGAAGTAAGATTTTAAGTTTCCTGCATTAAAATGAAAAAAAGCAATATTGTAAAAATGGGGAGATGTCTCATACAGCCTTAAGTCAGTGTGTGAGCTGCTTTAGATAGTTTGTTGAAGCGCCGCATGAGGTCTCTCGCTCTCTTAAAATTTAGACGTCACTGGTGCATGTGTCTAGATCTACCAATCGGACTATTTTACGCGTGCATCCCTACCATTGCGAGTTTAACCCAATCGAGTTAATTTGGGCGCAAATTAAAAATGAAGTTTCCAGAAAAAACACAACTTTCAAGATAGCAGATGCAAAACAGCTTTTTTACACCGCGGTACAAAATTTAACTTCGGAAAATTGTAAAAAAGCAATCGAACATGTTGAGAAGAAGGAACAAAAAATGTGGACAACTGACCAATGTATGGAAAGAGTGGTTGAACCAGTGACTATTAACTTAGGAAAGGGGATGATAAATACAGGCCTTTACATATCGTAATATGCTCCCTTGGCTGACCTCACTTTCTTTTTATGTCGCTACCGCGTTTTAGTTCACCCCCGCGACGTAGAGAACCGTACCCGCATGTTAGAAGGGAAATACAAACAAAAGCAATAAAACGAAATTTTTCTTGCATATTGGGCTGGGTCAGATAGAAGTTTCTGGTAGATTATTAATTAAAAACAAAATTTCATCGACCGCATTACCGTTCACCCCGTGAGATAGGAAATCATATCTACATCCAAATAATGATAACAGGAAAAGATATTTGTCTGAAATGTGTGAGCCGAAGCTCTAATAAGAAAACAGTAAGATAGTCAAACCTGTAATTATAACAGAAGCATAGAGTACCAGAAAAAATATGCTGCTCCATTTCTTCAGCCATCTTTGTACTTTGATGGTAGATTTACTGTCTAGCTTCATACAAAACTATTGAACAATAGGTCAAAGATAATCATTACTTCACAGGATATAACATAAAATGTGAGAAAAAATACCAGCAAAACTCGCGATTATTAAAATTTTATTTTCATTATCAAGATTCTTATCATACGGTGTCCTGAAACATCTCCAATAGACACCTGAGCCACCCGCACGTTTTGCCTCTACAATCTCATGGAAATAAGTCATCATGTCAGTTTTTTTACTCAAGCAAGTCGGTACACGCAAAAACAACAAACAACGCAACGAAAGCGGAAAACGGATTTGGTACCACACACTACATCTTGCATGATAATCTAAAGCCGCGTACCGACCGAGATTCCAACGCAAGCTAAGGCACATGTGGTTACAGATTTGGAGGTGTGCGAATCGAGGAGACTCGTCCCTCGACATTAGCACCGAACTTAACCCGACGCGGTCCAACTCGGATATAAATTAAAGTGTAGATACCGTTAGATGAGCGCATTCTAACACCTTCCAGCAGCAAACGCCAACATCAGATGTGCTTGCAGTCGTTTGCTCGG